ATGAAAACATGAATGATCATTTCTTTTAATGCAGTGCGTTGTCACCCTTTCTACGTAAAAATCAGTCAAATCACGTAATATGAATGTCGTACAGTCTTGCTCGAGACTAAAAAAACGAGTTGAAAGTGTACCGAGCCGCGGAAGAGACACTGTTTCTCAAGCGCTTTCCGCGAGCGCAATTCGAGACGGAGTGAAACACGGACAAATGCGTTTCATTCGTTCGTTCATAACTACTCATACCCTCCCCCGCCAACACAGTTTTGCGTAGGGCCCCCAGAAGTCTAGGATCGGCACTGCGTATTCGTCATCCTTTCCTATCTAAATGCTTGCTACGGATGCGTAAACACAGAAAATCGAACCTCATCTGAGTTTTTAATGATGGACGAAAATTTTGGAGGCAAACGTGTTTGACACAACGTGAGGTCGTATTTATTTTTTAACGTGCAAAAATTTTGGACGAGAATTTCAGACTCGGTGTGCAAAGATCTTTATCCTTATTCATTTATTTTTTGTTAGCAAGCCCAGCCCAGGTGAGAAAAAGTAACGCAAAAGTAAAGCAACATCACTTTTTTATTAACAGTAACTAAGTAACGTAATTGGTTACAAGTTACTTTTTTATGGCGTAACGCAGTATTGTAATGCATTACTTTTAAAAGTAACTTTCCCCAACACTGGTTGTAGCAAGCATTACTAATAGTGTCATTCATACTTGGGTGGTATTTAATAAACCCGTTTTAAGGATAAAATCATTTTATGCCTCGCATCATTACTAAGAGCCAAATCAAAACCCAAATAAATAACAATAACTAACACTTAAATATCTTAATGATATTTAATGATATGTTTTCTTCTACAGTTGTTGGTTTTGTGCAGCCAGAATCTGCTCCATAAGTTTGGCTACTACAGACTCATTCTGATCACCTTCTACGTGGAGGCCGGATCTGCTGTGATCATGTTACTCCTGGGTCCAGGCAACTACTATTTCCTTGCATTGTTCCTCACTTCCAACATGTGAGTAATTACACAGCACAATGCTGTTCCTTTTGCCCATTAATGCTAAAACAGTAAAAACAGCAGTATTTTGAAATATTATTACAATTGAAAAATGAAAACGTTATTTTAATATATTTTCAAATATAAATCTTTTGTAACATTTTAAATGTCTTTACTGTCACTTTTTTAAAATGCATTTTTGTTGAAAGAAAGTATTATTTTATATATAAAAATATTTACTGACCCCAAATATTTGAACAATAGTTGCATTTAGGTGTTACAGTCAGTGTTTACCAGTGAATAGAAGTTTAAAAATGTAGGCCAGATTATGTGTTTTTGACTAATTAGAGTATAAAGCATTCTTTGATACTAACTGGACTTTGTTAAATTTCTGAATAGGGCTGGGTGATGTGTAAAAAAAATAAATCACCTTTTGACATTATTCAGTTAATAGCAGATATTTACTTACATTTACTTAAGTGGTTTAAAAAGGAGGACCTTTTTCCCATCCACCAAATAGCTACTGTAAACAAGTAAATTTGTAATGTTTAATGTAAGAAATTATATTTTAAATATAAAATATTTATTTATTTATTTAACTTTCCACATGCTTTTCACTGAAATTATATTAATAATTAAAATTTTCAATGCCCTAATATAACAATGCATAGTAGTAAACAGTAATGTTTACTTACAGTGTATGTATAGTTTTACTAAAATTATTTAATTTCTGAAAAAATGTTACTTTTCCATGTTTCCATGAACATTTTTAGCTAATGATGCATTTTGAATCAGTTCACTTATTAGTGTTGTTTTTTCTACTTACTGTAAATGGGTCATATAATTTTTTTAATTTTTTTTTTCAGAGAGTGGGTAATAAATGGCCATAAATAGTATAATGACCTTAGACAAAAAAAACAAAAAACTTGCCAAATGACAAAGTAACTACTAAATGACAAAAAAATATTTTATGAATATCAGCCAACCTTGTCTCTGAATGTGTGATGTTTTGCCTTCTGATGGTGATTTAGGGTCTTAGTTCAGGCGGCCTTCAGTCTCTTCAATTTGCCTCTAGCTGACATCATTGACTCTGACCTGCAGAAATACAAACGCAGGTATTTGTCATTGTTTAAAAAAAAACAGTGTAATAAAGAGTTTTTTAATGAAGTGATTTTAAAAAATGACTTCTTTTAAATGTCTCCAGCTCTCCTCTCTCGTCTATGGTTTTTGGGACCAACGCTCTTTTCACAAAGCCGGCACAGTCTTTAGCTCCAATGCTGGTCGTGTCGGTTCTAAACCAATATGGTTATGCAGAAATAAAAGATGTTGGGAAGGCTGCAGATCCAAGGTAACTTCACCTATCAAATACCCCAATACAGTTTGTTAAAGCATAACAGATGTTTGAGAAAAGTGTGTGTTTCAGCTTTCTTTAATCATGCACGCTCGCATAAAGCTACATAACGCTCACTGTAAGCAGCCAAAGGTCTGTCATCCTCTAGTGGTGGAAAAGGTCCAATGCATTGAAGGAAATCTCGTCTGTCTCTTTGTTTTCCTAGTGCTCTTCAGTCCCTACACGGTGCCATGTTTTACCTGGTGTGTGTGGTGCCGTTGTGTGTCACAGCCCTGCAGGTGCTCGCGTGGAGGCCGTTCTCCATACGAGAGAGCCACACGATGGACTCAAAGTACATCGATGGGTGAATTCGGCTCTTTTTATTTTGTTTGTATGCGCTCACGTGCAGCACTTGATTTAGATTTAGATTTTTGTCAAACTACAGACTGTAATGTAGTGAGAAAGGGAATTTCTTTCTGTAAAGCAGGTTTGTTTCTTTGGTGGCTGGTGGTTGTCTATATGTACTGTATCACATCACACAAATCAGAAATCAGATGCATTATCTGAAATGTAGGAAAATGTTAGGTAACACTTTATTTCGATAGTCCACTTTAGACATTCTATTAACAGTAAGTAACTTTGCAACTACATGTCAACTAGCAGTTAGTAGAGTATTAGTAGACTGTCTGCTTAATATCTTCTAACACTTTCTTTGTCATCTTATTCTACTAACCCTAAACCTACCCTAACAGTCTACTCTGAGAGTTAGTAGACATGTAGATGCAGATTAATGAAAATTAGTTGACATGTAGTTGACATGTAGTTACAAAGTTACTTATAGTTAGTAGAATGTCTAAAGTGGACTATCAAAATAAAGTGTAAAGGAAATGTATAGTCAGCCAGTCCTTTTTAAAAAATAAACCCCAAAGTAAAGTGAAGTTGAGGGGTGTTGTATCACCCTAAAGAGGTTTGCACATGATCCCACTAATTCCACTCTACTTGAATAAATAAATAATGTATGTAACATTAGTTTGAGTGTAAAGGATTTAATTATGTGTGAGGAAAGGGAGCATGGAGTGGAATGCTGTGGTTGACCAATCAGAATCAAGTAATTCAGAGAGTCGTGTAATAATAAGTTCCTTATATGTGACACATTCTCTTGATGCCAAGCCGGAGTGCAAAGCTTTGTGATTGCAGATACAAATTGTAAAGCACCAAATCAAAATTTAAAAGACACTGTAAGCTATTAACTAAAGGTTTTGTTTTTTTTACCAGAAAATAAATAGATGATAATTTTTCTCTTTTTTTGATCACTTTAAAGTGAATTTGATGATGAGTGCATATTCATGCCTTTCCTGTTGATTCACACGGAACATTATTTTTGTATTTATTTATGAGTTGATTAGTTAGTGGGAAAGGTTTTGTGATTGGTGTTATTTTTCTACGTCAATAAACGTAATCTTATGGTCAAACAATGTGTGATGTGTCATAATTAGATTTGATATGTGCATTAGGAAACAAAGGATGCAATTAAAGAATGCAATAAAACCTAATCGTGCAAAAAAATACTAAATGACTGTATTACAGTAATATAATAGCCTACTGAGGATTATAGTTATGTTTGTGTGGAAATATACATTCTTCAGGTCACTTTTCACCATTACAATAGTATATATATATATATATATATATATATATATATACATAACTTTCTTAGTTATGTAAAATTTGTAACTTTAAAATTGAGCTATTTAATATTCTTAGCTACACTGCTGTTCAAAAGTTTGGGAGTTTTAATGGAGTCTCTTATGCTCATCAAGGCTGTATTTATTTGATCAAAAATACAGAAAAGAAACAGTAATATTGTGAAATAATTTCTGTAATGCAGCGCTGAATTTTCAGCATCATTACTCCAGTCTTCAGTGTCACGTGATCCTTCAGAAATCATTCTAATATGCTGATTTGTCAATGTTGAAATGTTTTGCTGCTTAACATTTTTTTATTTTTTGGAACCTGATACTTTTTTCTTTAATTCTTTGATGAATAGAAAGTTAAAAGAACAGCATTTATTCAAAATAAAAATCTTTTCTAACACTATAAGGCTTTACTATCACTTTTTATCCATTTAACACACAAAAAAAATACCGAACCCAGACTTTTGAATATTGTAGTGTATATTGTAACCCAAAATTTCTATTTTGAATAAACGCTGTTCTTTTTAATTGTTTATTTATCAAAGAATCCTGAAAGAAAGTATCACAGGTTCCAAAAACTATTGAGCAGCACAACTGTTTCCAACATTGATTATAAATCAGCTTATAAGAATGATTTCTGAAGGATAATGTCACACTGAAGTGTCGAAAATCCAGCTTTGCTTCACAGGAATAAATTATATCTTAAAGTACATTGAAATAGAAGAAAACTGTTATTTTATTTCTGTATTTGTGATCAAATAGATACAGCCTTGATGAGCATAAGAAACTTTCTTTTAAAAAAAACATTAAAATCTTATACTGATTCCAACCTTTTGAACGGCAGTGTATATTTTCTTTCCATTGTATGCTCTTATACTTTCATGGAGATGAGTACGCCAAATGATGACACACAATAAATGATAAATTGCCTATTTCTACCGAACAATTCACTTTTATTTTGAAAGCAGTTCTATTGTGTTGCGTATTCCGGTCGCCATGTTTAGCCGGATTCACGCAGTTCAACAGAAGAATTGCCTTGTCCAGCTTTCGCCAGTAGTTTTACTCTTTTATATCATTAATACACATGTGTTTTAGACCAAATTAATTTTTTTAATACCCGTGCCTTTGATAATATGCTCAGTAACTCTGGGTATTAAAGGGACGCGTTATTTCTCTGGTAAGTGTCTACCAGTGTTACATTGACACCTGGTTAGCGTTAGCTGTGGAAGTGAGTCAGCCTCTGACTTCATCAATATCAATCAATAGATCGATCACAACATGGCGCAGTGCAACTCATAAAACCAATATAAACCGCATTAACAGATACTATTGTGCATCATATTTATTAATATGGGCATACAGAACTACTTTGCTTTTCTGTTTTGGGTTTGTGTGTTAATCTGTCAGTCTGTAGGATGCGTTTGCTTTCAGATTCACTTTGGGAGCACAATCAGAAGAGATTGTATTTTGTTAAGGAGCACTTTTTTTAAGTTTACTTATTGGTTACGTATTGAAAACCTGTACACCTAGCATGCCGGGATCACATTTGAGTTCTATAAGAAATTGCAGAACCGTGATTTCTCTACTTGGTATGAATCAGTGTTTAGCATGATGCATAATTTATTAATTTTGCAGTACAATTGTATAAATGTAACGTTCTTAAATTTATAATTAGTATACATTTTTTAAAATTATTCAATGTATGTCATGGTTGTATCTGCTGTAGTGCATTTTATTTTTTTTTTTTTTTTTTTACTTTAGTTTATGTTGCCCAGGTTATATATTTCTTTCTTTCTTTCTTTATTGTGTGGATTTTTCCTTATTAACATATTGTAATAAGCCAAGCTGTTAAGTCCTGAATGTGATGATTTTATTATGATTATTAATATTATTACTTTACTATGTTGATTTCTTCTTTATTAACACATTGCAATACACCCAGCAGAGACAATATTGGACAGGTAATTAACTTAAAAATGATTATACTAATTTGATGATGATAAACTGATGATATTATTATTATTATCATTATTATTTCATTTGTATTTTTTTACTCTTACTATGTTGATTTGTACTTTACTAACATATAACATATTGTAATATACCCAGCAAATTGGTCAGGTTATTAAATTATTAGCTAAATTTGATGATTCTATATCATTATTATTATTATTATTATTGTCATTTATTTTTACTCTTCTACTATGTTGATTTTATTTTATTTTTTTTCACCAACAGAGTCAAGGTCAGGTTTATTTATATAGCACCTTAAAAGCAACGTGTGCTGCTGACCAAGGTGCTGCACAGCCAAAACATCAGAAAGAAAAAAAAATCAACCAACAAAAAGCATTAGGACATACACATTTTAAAATCATTAAATACTAATTATAAAAACAGGAAATCAAGAAAAGAAAGAAAAAAAAATACAAAATAATACAAGACATCACCTAACAAAGAAAAGAGAGAGAAAAGTTAAGCAAAAGCCTGAGAAAAAATATGTTTTAAAAGATGATAACTTGGGGGACGATCTGATGGAAGACTGATAAATTCCAGCATAAAGAGTGTTACAGTAATCCAGCCTGGTTGAAATTAATGCATGAATCACAACCTCCAAATCATAAAAACTAAGAATATTTTTAAGCTTGCAGAACTGATTTATTTGTCAAATTTTAGTTCCGTGTCAAAAATAACTCCCAGATTTTTTACTTTTTCCCGGATGTTTTCTTCAAAGGGGCCAAGAGTAGGGTTAAATTATTTAAAAGGTGTGGAGGGCCAAACAAAATAACTTAATTCTTTTTTTGATTTAACTGAAGGAAATTATTTTCCATCTAATTCTTGATGTCCTCTAAACAAGCCAGCAAAGGGGACAATAAAGGGAAATTGATTTATTTAGGGAAATAAAGCTGAGTATCATCTGCATAGTGTGGTATGAAACTTTATGAGACTGAAATATAAAACGAAGAGGGAGCAAATACATGGAGACTAAAATTGGACCTAAAATAGAGCCCTGGGGTACCCCACAAGTGATGGGATCTTAGCTTGATGAAAATTCACCAATTTCCACAAAAAAACTCTTCGTGAGATACGATGCAAACCAATCTAATGCAGTATCACAAATGGCAACCTAAAGATTTAATCTTTTTAACAGGATGCGGTGATCTACTATATCGAAAGCAGCTCTCAGATTCAATAATAGAAGAATAGTACAGTTACCAGAGTCTGCAGAGTCCACATTGGCCAGGTTATTGACACCTAAATTTGCTTGATTTCTTTCAGTTATGGACCCTCTTATCCAGGCTGATGTCATGCACCTTCAGGAGTCTCGTTCCTCAGCTCTGGATCTGTCCGTGGGTTGCAGGCAGAGTCCGTTGAAGACAAACTCCATGGAGGCTTTGGATCTGGTGAAAAAGCCCAGCTGGTGTGGCATTACTTCAGGGAGCAAGAGCATTAACATGTCCGAGTCTCGGTACATCACTCGGCCTAGCAAACTGAATTCTCCGGATCACCCAGAACCAGGATTGAAGCATCATGGGACAAGGACTTGTGGCACGTCATCCCACGGCCCCTACTCTATACCTTTACCACTGATCAATGGCTTGCCATCTGTGGCTCAGATATTGTCTCAGTGCCCACCCACAGACCAAGTGTTTACGGATGACAGTGATTACAGTGTCGAAATGGACGATATGTTGACGCAAACAAAAAAATGTCACAAAAAAGCAGATTCTGTATTAGAAAACAGCACACTGGGAGGTAGGATAGCGCACAGTGTATTAGAGACGCATCCACAAGACATTTTGACCGGTTGTGGTGAAACATACTTGAGTGACACAGGCGTGTCACAAACTAAGGGCTCATCGGGTTTACCTCAGGACGCCAGCGCAACTGCATACACACTACGTTCCACCAACTCAGTGATTGAGCGAACTGCCATCGAAATGCTCGCATCCGAATGTTCTGCCGCTAAAAAAACATCTCCATGCTCCATCGAATACATCTCTAGTGACCATGACAGTGACATCATTGAGGTGCCAGTAAGCAACTCCAGATGCAAGACGCCTCCAAACTTCTGCTTCCGAACTCAGAGTGTTATAGTTAATAAGAGAAATCGTGGAATACAAAGAAATTCCTCTGTAAAGCAAGAAGTTAAAATGGACTGCTCTCCCAAAAATTTGAACAATTTCTATGCCCTCGATGAACCTGTTTTTGAAGCCCATGATGGCAGGGCCGGCTTTGAATCCAAGTCGTTGCTGTCATGGATGGAGTCGGTCTGTATTCCCATATCTCCAGAAGACAGCGATCAAGACATGGATGCTGCTTTTCCCAAAAACTTCCCATCTACCTCGGATGCAGAAAACACAAGCATCTTCAAGTCTCCACAGAGTGGGGCTTCGTCTTCAATGTCAAGCCGTCCATGGAAAACTCCGGCCTCGAAGAGCAGGAAACGGGCAAAACCGAGACCCAAACCCAAGAAACCCGCTAAGCGGGTGAGAGCGCCACCTGCTGGCAAATCGGCAACTAGCACGGCAAAGAGAAGACGCAGAAAACCTAGATCATCTGGACCTTCATCTATGTTTTCACCTCAAGAGCCGGAGATCAAACTAAAATATGCAAACCACAAAGAAGAGAAGAAAGACACCAGGCCGGACACCTTCGCCCCGTACATTCACATGGAGTTCTCATCCTGCACAATCATCAATTTTAGGGATGAGGATGTTTATTCGACAAAGAAAGGGTTGCAGCAGGTGGTCTCGGGGGTCATCCCAAAGACGTCCTGTTTACAGCTGGGCCGTGTTGGCTCTGACGCCAGGTTGCAGGTCAGGCATTTCTGCTGCCTGTGCGGAAGGGCTGGCAATGTTGAAGGCCTCGGGGACTTGCATGGGCCGTACCAGAACAGTGGAGCTCAGGCCGTCTGTAAATCTGACAGCAGTCCTCCTGCCCAAAAGCAGGAACCTGACTGCAGCGATCTGGACTCGGTCTACAGTTTGGAGGATGGTGCATCCCAGTCTGTCAAACGGCAGAGGAAGGAGAACTGCTCAGAGAGCATTGAGGAGTCTGGTGTGTGTATTGAGCACTGGATACATGAGGACTGTAGCATTTGGACTGCAGACATCTTTTTGGTTAAAGGGAAACTCTACGGATTGGAGGAAGCCATCCGGCTTGCGCAAGAAACAGTAAGTCTTTTTCTTCCCCTGTCAGAGTGAACCTAATGAAGAAATGTCTGGGTCATATCAAAATAATTTATATATTGCGTTACGAAAGTGAGAGCTGATTTTTATGATCCTGTTTTTTTTTTGTTTGTTTTTTTTACATTGTTTCTTTATAAGCTTAAAATACATATTTTTATATTTTTTTTATTTTATTTTATTTTAATTACCCTCAAACACACTTGGCCCTAATCCTCTTCCGTCTTCCCCTGTCAGAGTGAACCTAATGAAGAAATGTCTGGGTCATATCAAAATAATTGATATATTGTGTTACGAAAGTGAGAGCTGATTTTTATGATCCTGTTTTTTTTTTGTTTTTTTTTTAACATTGTTTCTTTATAAGCTTAAAATACATATTTTTATATATTTTTTATTTTATTTTAATTACACTCAAACACACTTGGCCCTAATCCTCTTCCGTAAGTTTCTTTTTGGTTTTTGGTTAAATATGTGAATGGACATGTGCTTGACAGATTGCTGTGAGATTTTTGTCTCTTTATTTCATATAAAAACTATTATCTGACTATTATAGTTATATATATAATTACACTGCCTTTGAATCTTCTGAAGCTGTAAACTGCTGTTGTGTTTGGTTGTTGCAGGTGTGTTCATACTGTCACAGGGTTGGTGCCACTTTGGGATGTTTCTTCAAAGATTGCCCCAATAAGTACCACTTCCCCTGTGCCCTGCAGTCAGGTAATGGTCATCAGTTTGCCTGTACTGTCTCTCTCATGAGACCATGCAGACTGAAACCGAAAATAATGCAGTGTACATTGTACAAAACTACAGTGTCCGTTTGGCTGAACTGATGGTTCTTCTGAAAAAAATATTTGTTTCAAGGCAGTGGTGAATGACAAATGCATTTCAGGGCTGCGTCCAAAGGCTTAGGCTGCTGGCTTGTTGACTTGCTGCCCTATCAGGCAATGAGGTACAAAGGTACCTCCTGAAATTGATTTCGGACAGACTTCTGAGGCAGCATAATGGCTTTGGTGATAACTAGGTGAATATTAAATTACGATAAAAATAGCTTTATCAAAATATGACATCAAAAGTAAAAAAAAAAAAAAAATGTTTATAATTATATATTGACACAAACTGACCACGAATCACAACTTTCAGGCAGCATTTTATTTTTAGCTCAATTGTCATGAAATTGAACGCACAGGATATCATAGTCATTCATGCTGCCTTCAAAAATGTATCATTTGAAGGTATCTCAGTAGACTTGATGTGACACGATCTATGGATTTGGACGTCCCTTCCTACCTCCATATCCACTTTATTTTGCAAAGGGAAAGTAAGCTATTTTTTTGAGGATGTGTGAGACTTCCGATTGATTGGCCGCTGTAGATAAATACCTAGAAGGATAACAAAGTGCAGTAAACAGTAAAACTGTGATAAAAAATGCCAGTTTGCAAAAATCAAGCCACATAACAATCTGTTTTTACAACCAAAAATAAGTGGAAGTGAGAATAACACTAGAAGCCTTGCACATACCAGTTACAATTGGCTGCTTACGTTAAAATAAAACTAGATACTGCCTGTGGAGGCAGCATTTTTAAGCTTTCAGACGCAGCCTAGGTCTCTACTAATGCGCTGATGCAACAATTAGGTGTGTTTCATTAAGAAGACATGCATTGTTGGACCACTGTTTGAAGTCATTTTCACACTTGAAATAGTTAACCATCGGTCATTGTCAACCCTGTTTATCTTGCTTCACCTTTCATACTGCTCATAATTTACTCTGGGTTAAAGGATCAGTTCACTCCAGAATTAAAATTTCCTGAAAAGTTACTCCATGTGATCAAAGATGTGCATGTCTTTCTTTCTTCCGTCGGAAATAAATTAAAGTGTTAGTTCACCCAAAAATGAAAATTAGCCTGTGATTTACTCACCCTCGAGGCATCCTAGGTGTATATGACTTTCTTTTTTCAGACGAATCCAATCAGAGTTATTTTAAAAGTTTTCCTGGCTATTCCAAGCGTTATCATTGCAGTGGGTGGGTGTTTTTGTTCAACAGTCCAAAACACGTCAAATAAAGTGCCCGCATCCATAATAAAATGTGCCTCACACGGCTCCGGGGGGTGAGTAAAGGCCTCCTGTAACGAATCCATGTGTTTTTGTAAGAAAAATATCCATATTTCAAACGTAATAAAAACTTCTCTCTCACTTCATCTGACTGTCGTATGCGAAAGCCGTTCCGGCGGATGACGTAGGATGTCGGCGTTGCGTGATTAGTGACGAAAGCAGAGAGAGAACAAAACAAAACGCCGGTCACGAATTAGAAGCACAAACCGAGGATTTGTAAAGAAAAATGCCGGAGGATTTTGATATAAGCCAAGAAGAGGCTGGTTTTCCTTTGTTAAAGTAAAGAAACTTTGCTTCCTTTGCTCCTGTAAACAAACTTGCAAGACTAGCATATCTCAGAGGCGCGCGCGCTGTGTTTATTACGTTTGAAATATGGATATTTTTCTTACAAAAACACATGGATTCGCTACAGGAGGCCTTTATTCACCCCCCTCCAGGAATCGTGTGAGGCACGTTTTATTATGTATGCCCACGCTTTATTTGACGTGTTTTGGACTGTTAAACAGAAACACCCGCCTACTGCAATGATAGAGCTTGGAAGTGCCAGGACAATTTTTAATATAACTCTGATTGGATTCTTTTGAAAAAAGAAAGTCATATACACCTAGGATGCCTCTAAGGTGAGTAAATCACAGGCTAATTTT